TTACACGGTGTGCTCACATCGAATTCCTTATCCGCTGCTTTTTTGGTCAAAAGCCTGCAGTGCTGCAATTCTCCTTTCTCTGATTTATTTGCATTCCGTTTAGAATTAATGGCAATGAAACTGTATAAACCAGGGGTTATGTTTGTCTGAGTGTTAGCATGCTGGGTTCCCAGACTATTTCTTCACCTGTGTCTAGTTATGTCTAGAAATGGTGAAGAAAGGAGATTTAAGTGACTGAATGTAGTGTGGTTGGGTTGGTCCAAGTATTTCAGAAACCGCTGATGTACTGGGATTTTTACTCACTGCTTAGATGGGGGCAGCATCTGCAGTGATGTAGGTGCTGAGTCTGTCTGTTGTGGTGAAGATGAAGCTAACCCAGAAAACAAAGCTTTCATCCATCTTTGTCCCAACCCTCACCTATGGTCAGGAGCTTTGGGTAATGACAGGAATAGTGAGATCGTGAATGTAAGTGGCCAAAACGAAAAAGGGTGAGGAGTTGGCATTCAGGAGAGACTCAAGAGTAGAACCGATGCTCCTCCACATCAAAAGGAGCCATTTGAGGTGGTTTGGGCATATCAATCAATCAATCAATCAGTCAATCAATCAATCGATCAATCGATCAATCAGTCAATCAGTCAATCAATCAACCAAACTTTATTTGTATAGCACTTTCATATACAAAAATATATACCCCATATAACCCATAATACCATCGTTTCCCCAAAAATATAAAAATAATCATGACTTTTGCACCCTCCAAAATCCCACAACCCATTTCCTAAGGAACACGCACCCACACACACACACACACACACACACACACACACACACACACACACACACACACACACACACACACACGAACAACAAATACACACATGCACACACACACACACACACGAACAACAAATACACACATGCACACACACACAAACTTAAAAAATAAATAAATAAAATATAAGTAAACACTAGTCCAAGTTCAGATGGGTTAGGTAACGAATGACACATCATCAGGTGAGCTATCTGCCTTGTAAAGAACGCCTCCTCTTTGCTTCACAGGAAAGGTGTTTTAGGCAAGTCCAGCTGGCAGGGGGACCCTCGGGTCGTCCCAGGTCACTTGCCAGGGAAAAGCTGGTCCCATCTATGGAACTGGTTATGGTTGCTAAGGGGAGGCTGGTTTGGGTCACTCTGCTAGAGCTGGTACCCTCATGGCATGGATAAGAAAACAGACTCGTAAATGGAACTCAGAGGGTTTACAGATGATGGTCCAAAAATGACTGAACATTGTGTCGATGAAAATATCTATCACCTATTAACAGGAGACTGGAGGAACAATTCACTCAGGATCAACAAAACTACACAATAAAGAATTAGAAAAACGTTTCTGGTTGGATCAATTTCAGTTTTTAATAATAATAATAATGATGGATTAGATTCATATAGCACCTTTCAAGGCACTCAAAGCACTTTCCATCGGTGGTCCACTGGCAGTGGCTTACCATCACTGGCAGTGATGGTAAGCCACTGCATAGCCACAGCTGCCCTGCAGCGGTCTGACAGACACGAAGTTGCAATTTGCACCATCGGTCCTTCTGACCACCACCAACCCAGGCAAGACGGGACAGCAGAGTACTCTGGTGGGAGCTGAGATCAATCCCTCAATCTTCCGATCACTGGTCATTCCGCTCGACCTCCTGAGGTACTGCTGCCTATATGCTGCAACATTCAGATGGTTGGGTCAAAATCTGGTGTCAACATGAAAGCGTGGATCAATCTCGACTTGGATCAACGGACCTATCCATTTTTGGCCACTTATCCGGGGTCGGGTCCCGGGGCTGCTCAAACATGTTTCTTGAACACGATGAGTTTACTGGCCTCCACAGACATGAGCTATTTAGACAAAACATCTCTGGACTTTTGGGATAAATGTTGGGTATAAAGTGATGGAAATCAGATATATTACAGGATTTTGGGACAGTATTTCTGGAGCTAGAGCAGGTTTTCCAGTAATAAAAAAGTTGCAGGTTCAATCCCAGCTCCCACCAGAGAATGCCGCTGTTGTGTCCTTGGGCAAGACACTTAACCCACTTTTTCTGCTGGTGGTGTTCGGGGACCGGTGGTGCTAGCGTATAGCAGGCCTCACTTTTGTTAGTGCGCCCCAGGGCAAAAAGCAAATTATGGCCAAGATAAACGGAAGTCCGCTGAAGCGCAGGGACCGCCCCCATACCTTTATGCGGCATTGCCTAATCTTTTTCAAAGAGGACATGATTGCGCCACAGTCTCACCACTTATAAACAACCTAAGGATCCCTGATGACGCCACAACGTTGCAGCAAATTGACAGCATTGTTTTGTAAAAACAGCTCTAGTCCCGCCAACGTGTCCTGGGTCAAGGTTCTTTTAGGTCTTCTCTCGGTTGGATGTGCCCAAAAAAGACATCCTACTCAGATGCCCGAGCCACCTCAACTCTCTTCTCTTGATGTAGAGGAGCAGCAGATCTACTCCGAGCCCCTCCCGGATGACCGAGCTTCTCACCCTATCTCTAAGTGAGGAGGAAACTAATTTTGGTCGCTTGTGTCCGCAATCTTGTTCTTTCGGTCACTACCCATAGCTCGTGACCATAGGTGAGGGTTGGAATATAGATCAACTGGTAAATCAAAAGCTTTGCCTTCTGGCTGAGCTCTCTCTTCACCACAACAGACGGTTCAACGCCCGCATCGCTGCAGACACAGCACCTGCAGCAAAAACAAAGCATTTGGCAGCAACTCCGTTAGCAAAATCCATATTTTTAATATCTGAAAAAATGCCATGATTTGTTTAAACCCTACAGTCCTTTTTAAAAGAGTTTGATTTTTAAAGTGTTTCGCATCTCACCTTTCTGAAGCAACCTCTAATAAAATGTCACCTGACTCATTTTCATGCTAATGTCGAATACTGGTGATCACGCCAGCTTGAATGAACTTACATCTCAGGGAAAAGGTCACATACAGAAAATTTCACATATATTTGTTGAAAATGCTGCTTTAGTTGAAGCAGATGTTGATCTTTGATTAAAAAGAAGCTGCACCACAAACAGTTGTCATTTTCACTTTTCACTTTTTACTTTCAATTCAAATAAAATCTTAAGAAAAAGAGCTCCTTTCAATTTTATAAGAAGGAAAGTTTGTGTTTTATGATAAAAATCTGACATTTTAGGGTATTCTTTTCACTATTTAACATATTCTGACAAAAAAAAAGCCAAACTGTCTTCTAGTTATTAGATTTATCCCAGTGGTGATTTATAGATTATGATATTAGTTACAATTTATTCCAAAATCTTTGTTACATAAAACATGTTCTATATTAGTTTATTATACCTTAGACGTCAGCCAGAGCTGAGGTTACATTAGAAACTTCAAGCAGTAAGATTATTATAATACAGTTTAGAGTGAAAATAAAATATGATCTGTAAAGGATGAACGTAAGGGTCTGCCAGGGTAAATATCACTGGTGTTGCTACAATTGAACTCACTCATATTTCATGTATTCTGATGATGGGCTTTAGACTTGTATAGTTTGGTGTTTGTGGTGGTAGTGGAAGCCCGGTGTTGTTTTGAAGAGTCATAAAGTGGAAATAGTAATTTTGTTGCCTCTGTGATGGGCCAAAGCATCTTAAACTGGAGTGGTGGAGCTACAATCTGGCTGTTTTATAAAAATAAATAGTTAAAACATTAACTTTTATGCAGTTTGAGATACAGATAAAAATCCCAAAAATTAGAATGTGATGCTAAATGCTGGTGAAGGTTTTCAGTCATCCAGGTCATGGTAATTCAAAGACGTTGGAATGAAGGCAACTGAATGTCTGGTTTCTTGAAGATGTTTTGCTTCTCACCCGAGGAGCTTTTTCAATTCTAACAAATAATTGATAATTTTATTCTTTTATGGCGCATGGATATAACACAGCAGGCTTTTTCACCCTCTGTGTTATATCCATGCGCCATGCAGTGGCGGCTTACATTGGTGCTTTGTCGAAATGGAGTCCCAAGTCTAAATCGGCTTCTGGAAATCCTTCATGTTACTTCTTACTTTTTAGTTGCAGTCAACATGATTATTGAGCTCACCAGGAGTAATTGGTATTAGTATTGAGTAATTTTAACCCTCTGGAGGCAGGCATTGCACATTTGTAACAGTTAAAACCTACCTACCTGGTTACTCCACATACGTATTTCATGAGCATTTTTTTAACTCAGAAGTACCCCTGATGGACTTAGTTGTTCGTCCTTTGATCAAAACTTATTTTGAGCCTGAGAGGGTTAATCACTTTTGCACACAAAATGCTAACTTCTGCTATTCACATCCATTGTTTATGCTAAGCTAAAGCAGACAGATTGCTGCCAGACCAGGAGAATTACTGCGCTGTTACAAAATGATTTTTTTTCTCATTTATTTAACTCTGGGAAACTGTAAATAGACAAAATTTCACTTGGGGTGGAAAAGCCCTTTAAAGCTGCTTTTACCTAAATCTTTTCCTTTCTTATTTTTCAACTCAAATTTGTAATAATCTTTAATTTGTTTTATGATATTTTATAATTTTATGCTGATGTTAATTTATTTTCTATTTTAAGATCACTATGATTTCATGACTTTATCATTTGTTTATTTTTAATCTCTGTGAAGCCCCTTGTGATTCTGTCTGTGATGAGTGCTATATAACTAAACTTTACTTCCCTACTTACTTGCAGTTGCCTTCATTTGAACCCCTTTGGAATAGGGTGCATAAGTACATTCATTTCAGAATTTCATCCTAAAAGGTGAAACTAATATTTGAGATAGACTCATTCTATGCACAGCCAAGTGTTTCAAGCCTTTATTTGTTATAATTGTGATGATTGTGGCCTACAGCTTATGACACCCCAAATTCGAAATATCAGACAATTAGAATATTGTGAAAATTTCAATATTCTAGGCTCTATGTCACACTCTAATTTAGCTAATGAATCCAAATTAATTTTTCTGTTTTAGGTACACACAAAGTTCCACTGTCAGCAAGCCCATGCTCCTGGATCAGACACCTCCTGCCTCTGTTTTTCTTACGACGGCGTGACTCTAGCTTCCCGCGGAGGTAAAGAAAACACATCCATAGACGGCACATGTTAAAGATGCATTCATTTATATCAAATCCTTCATATTTTACATCCAGTTCTAGCCAAAAACATGTACTTTTTAACAGTTTTGTCTCTTATTGAGTGTAAATAGACAGAGGCCCTTGAAAAGCTCCTACTTGAAATAAACAAGAATGTTTAAATTTCTTCTTGTATGTAATCTTTTCAAGAGGCTTCTAACACAAACATAAACAGAAGCGAGTATATATAGTCATTGAGAAATTTGGAAAACGCCATAGCAATCTAAAAACACTTTTAGGGAAGTCAGTTCTAACAGTCTTTAATTATATCCTATCTTTTCTTTCTAGGTGACGACACTCTGAAAATTTGGGACATACGTAACTTTAGGAAGCCCGTGAACGAGGCTAAAGGACTAACCAACTACTTCTCCATGTGAGACTTCTCCTCTGGCATCCTAATTACAGTTTGCCTGCTTGTTTATCTCGACAGTATCCCGTTTGGATTATAAATCCATGTGTGTCATGGCTTCCTGCAGGACGGACTGCTGTTTCAGTCCAGATGACAAGCTTGTCGTGACAGGGACGTCAGTGAAGAAGGATGAGGGGAATGGCAAGCTGGTTTTCTTTGACCGACTTTCATTTCAGAAGGTTTATGAGATCGAAGTCACCAATGCTGTAAGTTCTGTCTCAGATCCCCACAAACACAACAGTTCTCGTTGTTTTTAAATTGGACAACTTGGTCACAAAAATATACAAAATGTTTCAATCCACAAATGATGGATGTGTGTATAATTGATTTTCTGTCTGGTTTAAATTTAAACAGACCTAGAAAATGTTTGTCTGATGCTCCTCAGAAACATAAAAAGCAGTTGGCAGCAACTCCGGACACACACATATTTTCACTTTTTATTTGTAAAAAAAAAAAATACACAAAACATTTTGTCTTAACTTGATGAATCATTCAGTAAACACATTTTCCTGTATTCACCTAATTGTCTTAGATTATCCATTTGAGGCCATGAAAATGAGAGGAAAAATAAAAAATAAAAGTAGAGGAAAGTGAAAGCAAATGTGCAATGACTTTTAAGATGTGAAGAAAAGTGAAGTAACTTTACTTTCCACTGTAAATCATGCCCAAAAGCTGTTGGCAGGGCATATATGGGCTGCTTTTACCTTATATTTGAAATTAAATTATCTTTTGCAAAAATCAGCAGGTTCTGTTAGCGAATCATGTGCCTCAAACTAATCCTGCTTTCTCAGAAAACCACTTCACGAAGGCAGTCAGCCATAGGTGTTAAACTGGCAGGCAGAGGTGCTGTCTGCTCTGGAAACTTTTCCTTTCTAATGCATCCTGAAGCTTCTGTCAGCAACATCCATCTGAACTCATAACACTGAGGCTAATTCTTTAACTCCATCCACTGGTTTCACAGACATGAAGTATAGACACAAACGTCTGAATAACATGTTCAGAAGTGGATGAAAGAGGCTACACACATGGGTTTGTGTGTGTTTGTGTGTGTGTGTGTGTGTGTGTGTGTGTGTGTGTGTGTGTGTGTGTGTGTGTGTGTGTGTGTGTGTGTGTGTGTGTGTGTGTGTGTGTGTGTGTGTGTGTGTGTGTGTGTGTGTGTGTGCGGGTGTGTGTGTGTGTGTGTGTGTGTGTTTCCACACAACACGCGCACATCTGGTTCAGCCTGAAACAGAACAAGGAGGACCATCAGAGTGAAGTTTGTAAACGTAATGCAACACTTATGTTTATGTTTTTAGCAAACACTTTTGTCCAAAGCAACCTACAGGTGGTAATGAAGCGAGCAGGTTGCCCTTGAGGCTAACCACAAACAGTAATCAGTCAATGCTAGGTGGCTGTGAGGTAGCATAATGAATCATAAAGGTGAACAAGGAGTGGACAGTAGAGTGGGGGACGGGTGCAGGGAGGGTCTTCTAATATCCTAGTTTAGAAGATGCTCTCTGAAGAGCTGGGTCTTCAGGAGTTTCTTGAAAATTGACAAGGAACCCCTTGTTCTGGTAGTGCTTGGTAGGTCATTCCACATGAAAAGAGTCTGGATTGTCCTGAGTGTGGTGTAGGCACTGCTAGTCGAAGATCCTTTGATGACCGGAGCGGTTGAGCCATGACGTAAGCCTTTGCAAGAGGATTAAGGTAGATGGGAACCGTACCATCCAGGACTTTGTATGCTACTGTTAGCAATTTGAATTTGATGTGAGCAGCTAATGGTAGCCAATGGAGCTCAGTAAACAGAGGGGTGACACGTACTCTTTTAAGCTGATTGAAGACCAGACGTGCCGCTGTTTTCTGGACCATTTGAACAGGTCTCACAGTACAAGCTGGAAGACCAGTTAGAAGGGCATTGCAGTAATCGAGGCAGGAGATGACTGTAGATTGCCCCAGGAGCTGAGTGGCTTATTGGGTTAGGTGTGGTCTGATCTTTTGTATGTTATACAGCGCGAAACGACATGATCGAGCGACAGAAGCAACAGGATATTTAAGGTCAGCTGGTCATCAATCACAGCACCCAAATTTTGAACTGTCTTTGAAGAAGCCAGAGACAGGGAATCGTTTTGGATTGAGATATTGTGCCGTATGGATGGTTTCACTGGGATGACAAATAATTCATTTTTTGAGAGGTTGAGTTGGAGATGGTGAGATATCAGAGACAGTCAGAGATTCGTGCAGAGACTTTGAGGTCATCCAGTGGGAACGACTGATAGAGTTGGGTGTCGTCGGCATAGCAGTGGTAGGTACACAGAATGATCATCCTGTTAGGTACTATACAATTCAAACCAGGAGTGTGCTGGTAGCATTTTGTGTGGAACAAGTCGTGAAAATTACTCAGCATCCATCAATCCATTTTCATCTGCCTATCCGATGTCTGGGGCAGCAGCCTAAGCAGAGAGGCCCAGTCTTCCCTCTCCCCAGCCACTTAAGCCAGCTTCTCCGGGGGAATCCCAAGGCATTTTCTGGCCAGCCAAGAGACATAGTCCCTCCAGCGTGGCCTGGGTCCTCTTTTGGGTTTCCTCCCAGTTGGACGTTCCCAGAAAACTTCACCAGGGAGACGTCCAGGAGGCATACTAATCAGATGCCCGAGCCACCTCAACTGGCTCCTCTTGATGTGGAATAGCAGCGGATCTACTCTCAGCCTCTCCTGGATGACTGAGCTTCTCATCCTATATCTAGAGTCGTTTTTACAAAAATTTACAAAAGAATGCCGCCAATTTGCAACAACACCATGGCGGCATTAGGGAGCCTTAGGTCGTTTATTAGTGGTCAGACTGTGGCGGTAATGTGGTGCAATCAAGTCGTTTTTACAAAAGATTACGCAGTGGCGGTTTAAAGGGGGCATGTGGGCGGTTTCTGTCACAGACTTCTGTTTTTTTTTTTTTTTTACATAACTTGCTTTTTATTACAATCAAAGCCGCGCTCATTAAGTGTTTTTACCAAGCCGCTCCTAAAGGTGTCTGTCCCCAACGGCCCCTGTGTAGTCTCTGGTGATCTGAGCTCCAGCGCTAATGGAGAGAAGCTTCAGGAGCTCTGTATCGCCCTAGTTTATCATCTCAGCTGCTTCTGTTTACTAAAGTGAAACTTACTGCCCATGTTTACCTTCGTTTTCAATGTAGTTGCCGGCCGGAGCTCAACAGTAGCTCCCCACATGATTATGACACCTCCTTCTGTTGGGCCAAGGTGTAATATGCATTCACAAATACAGCGTTGCAGTAATATTACTGACAAGAGTGGCGGCACAAATGCCGCAAAATTCCCACAACTCCATGCCGGCATGGCGCGTTTATAAGATGCACTGTTGCAGCAATATTGTGCTGATTTGCCTGCACTGTGTGTCTTGTAAAAAGGGGTTAAGGGAGCGACCAGAGACCTGTGGAGAAAACACATTTCAGCTGCTTGCATCCGTAATCTTGTTCGGTCTCTACCCAAAGCTTGTGACCATAGGTGAGAATGTAGATCGAGCTAAATTACTCAGTAATTATCCTAATTTTTCTTGGTGACCTCAATAATTATATTGACTGAAAATGAAAATAAGTAACATGAAGGAATTACAGGAGCTAGTGTTGACTTACTACATCAAGACAAAGCACTGCTGTAAGCAGAAGATACCTACTTCTGTAAACACAAGTGTGTGGCTACTAGACTTATTCCTAATACATTTTTTTGAAGGAACAGCATAGTAAGTTGCATAAAAAATGTGTACATGACAGAAGAAAATGATGACATCTTGTGGCCTCTGTGTCATGTCCTTACGCCTTGCACTGGTTCTTTTTTGTAATGTAGTCCCAAGTCTAAATTGGCTCCTGCAATCTCTTCATGTTGATTATTTGCATTTACAATTGAAATGATTATTGAAGTCACCAATAAAAATAAGGATCATTTAATAAATTTCATTGCTTTTTCACACAAAATGCTAGCTTCACTTGCATTGATTATGCAAAGCTAAATCTAATGGAATACTGTCAGATTGGGAGAATAACTGTGCTGGTTACAAAATGCTTTTTCAAGCCTTGCAAATCAACCCTCTGAGGTCTGCGCTAGAGTTATTGTGATGCCTAAAGGCACTTGTTTTTAAAACATCAACATAAATATTGAAAAGAAAAACGTCTGCTGGAACCGTAATCCGTCTCGCAATAATGTTTCCACCTTTGTTTATGTTTGAGCGTTTCTCCAAATTAAACCCATATTTTTTGTTGTGCTGATGATCTCAGCTCATCGTAAATTTATCGCTTGATAGTTGATAAACCTATTCTCGATTTTTAAGGAGTCATTAATGGGTCTGCCTGACTCTCAGAAGAGACACTGGTGCTGTTAAACTGCAAACCCCACAGTACACATGTGAATGGAGTCATGCCAATTTGGGCCAGACAGTTAAGTCTTAATTTATGTCACAACGTCTTAGTTTGAACCCACTTTCATTAAAGTAAGCATGAAATAAAGAACCTGAAACACTTTAGGTTGAAGAGTCCTCCTCCCCAGCATCACTCTGTGTGTCGTTTGTCTCCTCTTTCACTCGACTACAGAGGGTAAACATTTGGAAGTGATTTTTCCATTGGCCTTTCACTTGCTCCACTGTCTGCCATTGTGAGAAATTCTGAAAACTTCAGTTCGTTTCACTAGAAGTGAAGCAAAAGCTTCTTGCCTTCTGTTCACCATCTGCCTTGTGCTAAAGCCCTGCAGATTCCCCACCAGATTCAGCTCGTTGCTATAAAAAACTGCGCCGTCTACAGAACAGGCAACCACTGCCAACAGATCTGGCAAAAAAAGTTTTATTCAAGTGGACAAATTTCCATAATGTTATGGGTCTACGTGAAGATTAAAGGATTTAAATTTCACTTGTTCCATTTCAAAAAGAACTTTAAAATGTTCTCGTAATTTACCGGTTTTATTTATTTGATTTGATTCATTTCTATACGTGCTGTTCTGAATTAACACACAAATAATGTGTTTACAAAAAAATAAAATTTATAACATTTATTGTGAAATCACTCGTGTACTATTCTAAAATAGCTGAAGCTTTCATACTAAAATAATTTTGATGTGGTGAAATGTCTCATTCTGCTGAGCAGCAGATCCCTTATCTCTAGTAGACATGCACTAAGTGAACTGGTTTAAAATGCTATTTACTGTGTTTACATCAGCCGTCCACTGCTCAGGTGGC